TAGATAGATAGATAGATAGATAGATAGATAGATAGATAGATAGATAGATGATAAAATAATTAATGGATGGATGGATGGATGGATAGATGATCAAATTATGGATGGATGGATGGATAGATAGATAATAAAAGGATAGATAGATAGATAGATAGATAGATAGATAGATAGATAGATAGATAGATAGATAGATAGATAGATAGATAGATAGATAGATATAGAAATAATATAGATGGGTAATAAATATATGGAACATAGATAGATAATAAATAAATGAAAATAGAATAAATTAATATTTAATGTCCATTTCTTTATTTATTCAGTTTTAAATAACTTTTTAAACCGCTTAAACAGCAGAGCAAGGAATGCATGAATTTATTAAAATGTATTCCTTACATGCCATGTCAGTCCTTGAGCACCTTCCAAATGCATAAATATAAGTCTCATATTTGGTTCAAAACTCAATTATACAGTTCAGTGTCATTATATAAAAATATGAGCACCAAAGACCTTGTTGACCAATCAGAATCGAGCATTTCTGAGAGTGTTTTGTACAGAATCCTGTTTTTGCAGCTGAGGAGTCTTCAGTCATGTTCTTCTCAAAATGAACCAGGTTTTTATTATCCAGTATGTCTATTTCAAGATGGACATCATCTGAATGATAGCTTGCAAGTGACGTGAGTCAGTTCATTCATAAGACTAGGTTTGATTCAAGCTGGTAAATAATTGTGAGTTTTTGAATTACTCATTTAAAGAGTAAAATTCATAATCTCAGGTCCAGTATTGGTTAATCGCACTGCAATGCTTAACTAAATGATGGCGTTTTAGTTAAGCTTGACCTCAGCATTATGGGTGAACATCAGGGAAAACAAACCAAATGCTACAAAACTTCTTTAAATGACTTGTTTAAAGCGATGCTCGTCTGTGTTTGTGTGTGGGAGCAGATCAGCACAAACCCATGAGATTCTTCTCCAGAATAAAGACCGTTCCTTCTGGTGTGATTTAGACGCGTTGAGTTTCCGGCAGGCAGTCAGTAGGGTTTGAGCCGTTGTTTGTGGGTGAGAATATCTGGAGTTTAGTCTGTCAGATGATACGAGCTCTCTGCAGCGGTGGACTCTAATATCACTTCGCTCATCGTTTGTCTGTGTCTGTCCTTAAGGAAACAGATTGAGGGAGAGATGCCACAGAGATCAGCCCCTGTCGGCTCTTTAGTTTGTGTGTTGGGCCTTTGTGTATATGTACGTGAGAAAACAAAAAAAATAAGAGAAATTTAATGGTGGGACTGATTTAGCTGCTGACTTGAGTTTCTAAGTTTAGAGCGTCACTATTGATTATATAAATAATCAGCTAAATATTTTAGTGATTAATGGAGCACCATAAATACTTCAGCATCAATACGTACTAAATTATAAAGATACAATGCTGTTTGAAAATTTGGGGTTGGTTTAAGATTTATACATTTTGTAATGATGCAAGTTTCAGTTATGTGCATTTTGTTTATGCTTTATTTGTTGTTTGTTTTTCCAAATAAAATTTGATATAAATTGTTCAAAATCCATTGTTGCCACGTCACTTGTAATAGTAGCACAAAGTAACCAGAGAGGATACAAATGGTATTGTCTTGTGTTTTAACTAAAGAGTCTGCAGTACTATATAGTGAACGTTGGGAATGCTTTCAAACTTTTCTCTCTTCACTTGACTGAGTTTTTAATCACATGCCTGCATAATTTAGCAATTTTAGTAGATCGGAAATATGTGTTCAAAAAGATCACACACACTTTATCATGTTATTGAAGTACAAATAAACTGAACATCTACATTTGCCTAGAAAGTGAAGGACAGAACTCTTTTATTTCCTCGTCAGTGGCTCCACACTTCTGTTCTCTTAATGAATGCTAGCAGGAGGCGGATCCAACATAGCAGAAAATTTGCCCTAACCGTCAATCATCTGTCAGAGTCCCAGAGGGCGGAGTTCAGGCGCTTAAGTTCGGGCACATGGGCATCTGCTCCAGCTTCTTTTAGAAAAGCCTCCAACTCACCCTGAAGGACTTTAACTAGTCTTCCAAACACTAACTCACCCAAAAGTTCCCACAAGAAGAGAGGCAAGGTCTTCAGAAGGAGTTTGGTTAGTTCTTCTCTCTTGTGCTCTGATCAGCTGCGTGTTAATCGGTGGTCTTGAGGAAAGGCCCTCATGCTGGCGTGATCTCTGCGTGTCAGTGAGTTTAACGCTGATGAACACGAAGTTTGACATCAAATCTCAGCGTCTGTGAGTGAGTTTCTGAAGGCTGATGAGAGCTGAGCTTTGAATTCATACAGGGGAAATTCTGCTTTATGAAACATCTTTGGCTTTTCTTTCTTTCCTTTTGTTCGTTCTTCTGTTTGTACTTTTTCTTAATTTCATTTGGTCTTTCTTTCTTGCTATTTTTCATACTTTTTATACCTTTGTTCTTTCATTTTTCTTTTTGTACTTGCATAATTTTTTTTCTTTGTTTTGTTCGTACTTTCATATACTATATATCTTTTTTTTTTGTAAGTAACTTTAATCATGTTTATTTTTCGCTCCATAATTTTCACAATCTTCTCATATTTTTCACAACAGTTTGTTTTTTGTTATTTTCCATATTTTTTCTTATTTCTTTTGTTTATACATTTTCATACTTTGTTCTTATTTGTATAGTTTTCTTTTGCAATTTTAAAAATTTTTTGTAATCTTTTTTTCTTTCTTTCATTTGTTCATACTTCTGTTTGTATTTTTCTTAATTTCTTCATTCCTTTGTTCATACTTTGTTCACCCTATTTTCAATTTTGTACATTTGTACTTGTTTTTTTTCTTTATACTTTCATATAGGTTTCTTTATATTTTGGTTCTTTTTTTTATTTTTTAACTCATTTTCTTTTGTCTGCTTCATAATTATCTTTTCATACTTTACACCTGTTGTTTTCTGTTATTTAATTCATACTTATAATGACTTTTGTAATTTTTTTCTTTCTTTCACTTATTTTTTCATTTATATCGATTTCTTTTTCATATATATATATATATATATATATATATTTTTTTTTTCTTTTTTTTTCTTGATAATCATTCATTGAGTGTTTAATTATTTATTCATCTGTCTCATGCATGTATTTGGTTGTTAGCAGGAGCCCAGCCCGTTCCTGAGCTCCACGATCGAAGCGGACGCTCTGTTGAGGAGTCCGGTTCCTCCGGCCGCGAGTAAGGATCCGGGTCGGATGGGCAGCTCTGCGCGTGCTCTTCCTCCTCTGGCCTTCCCCGGAGAACTCGTGCCCTTTGATGAAGCTCTGAGAGACGTGAGCACGGTGAGGCCCCTGACCAGTCAGGACGGACCCGATATAGTCACTCGCCATGGAGCCCAGCTACTGGAGGTCAAAGCTGCTGAACGCAGAGGTACACACACATCAACTCACACACACACGCAACTCACATCCACCATCACAGAGAGCGCGCTGTTCAGGAGTCAGAAAGAAAGAAAGAAAGCAAAGAGTATCAAAAAATGCAAAAAGTATGAAAAAGAAAATGAGCAAAAGAAAAAACATATGGAAAATATGAATTAAAGGGAAAAAAATGGTGTAAAAGTATAAAAAGAAAAGCAGATGTATGTATGAATCCAAGTACAAAATAAAGTACAAACTTATGAAAAACAAAAATAAAAAGAACCAAAAAATTATAAAAGTCCTTTCTGTCCAATTTTTAGTGTAAAGAAAGAAAGAAATGAAAGAACCAAAATATAATGAAAAGTATATGAAAGCATGAACAAAGAAATAAAAAAAGAAAAAAGAAAAAATGAATACAATAATGTACAAAAATAAAAGAAAGAAAAAGAACATAACGAGAATGAAAAAAATAATGAAAGACAATCTTACAAATAAGAAAACAATATTAAAACAAACAATATATAAACAAAAAGACCAAAATATGAAAGTATGAATTAAAGAACAAACAGGAAAAAAACAAAAACAGTTGAGAAAAAGTATCAAATAATTATGAAGCAAAAAAAAAATGCAAATGTGAATTAAAGTTATTTCCTAAAAACAACAATGAAAGAACAACAAAAGTATGTGAAAGTACGAATAAAATTAAGAAAAAAGAAAGCAACTGTAATTGTATGAAAAAAAATGGAAAGAAGTTAAAGAAAAGTATAAAAGGAAAGAAAGAGTTTAATTAAGAAATTAAGAAAAAGTACAAACAGAAGCGCAAACGGAAAGAAAGAAAGAGAAAGAAGAAAGAAATGATTGTGGCATAATTTGAAATCTGAACCTCAGCCACAGAGAGCATGTGATTTATTCTGAGCTCTGTCTTGTGTGTTGCAGAGCTGGAGAGACAGATGAAGATTGAGAATCTGTTTGTGACGTGGCAGCAGCGCTCGGCTCAGTCCAACATGCCCATCTCTGTGAGTTCACACAGCCTCTGCGCCGAGAGATACTGTGTGATGGGTATTTTCCATCACACTCTCAGAGCATGATTTTCCCAGCGGCTCATCGGGTCCAGATTCATCCCAGTGCGCTGATCCTCTGCCTCACACACACACACACACACACACACACACACACACATGCAGATCCTCGTCTGTGTGTAAAGCCCGGTTGGGTCTAATGAGATGTGGCGAGGACATTAGGAGACGCTGTAGTGTGTGAGATGCCTCTGTCATTGGCTGTGATCGCACTACTTTGAGGCTCTTTCACACTGCTGAGATCCAGACAAATGTGTTGTTATTATACTGCAGGTCACCGCTACTGTAAGTACAGTACCATTCAAAAGTTTGGGGTCAGTAAGATGTTTTTGTTGTTGAAAGAAATTAATTCTTGTATTCAGCAAGGATGCATTAAATGGATCAAAAGTGACAGTAAAGACATTTATAATATTACGAAAGATTTCGGTTTCAAATAAATGCTGTTCTTTTGAACTTTCTATTCATTAAAGAATCCTGAAAAAAAAATATTACATATTCCACAAAAATATCAACATTGATAATAATCAGAAATGTTTCTTGAGCAGCAAATCAGCATATTATACTGATTTCTGAAGACTGGAGTAATGGTGCTGAAAATTCAACTTTGATCACAGGAATAAATTACATTTTACAATATATTCACACAGAAAACAGTTATTTTACATTTTAATAATATTTCACAATATTACTGATTTTTATGTATTTAAGTATTTATTATAAACAAATAAATGCAGCCTTGATGAGCGGAGGAGACTTCAAAAATATTACAAATCTTACTGGCCTCTTTGAACTGTAGTGTATATTCACGGTATATACTGATTGTAAATTTTCCAGATACAAACCATTGGTTGAGTCAGTGTGTCGAACAGGTTTTGATCAATGCTTTAAAAGCACCACAGACTTTTTAGGATAAAATCAGCATATTAAACTGGGATGGAATGTATTTACACACTGAAAACGTTACACACTTCACCTTTATAAAACAATAGCTGTTGCAGCAAATGAAGGAATTCTGGGTGTAAATCTGGAAACGCTCTCTCCGTGTGTCTGGTGTGTGTCTGTGCTCAGGTGGCGGATCTGGACACACTGAAGCAGTCCTCTCGACTGGTCCATTACTGCGCCACTCCGCTGCTCTTCGACCCTGTCTTCCGGAAACAGATTCAAGAGGAACAGCTGCCTCAGCCCCAGATGAAGGTCTCTCTTTCTTCCTCTTCATCTTCCTCCTCCTCCTCCTGCGGAGTCTGGCTGCTGGTTCACACTGCATTTATAAATACCATCATCTTGAAGCCTGATTTAGGGTTAGAAGTTCAAATCCCTGACCATACGTATAACCCTAATAATAATAATAATAAACATAAATACGAACCATATAATTCCATTGTGAGTGCATACAATTTTTTTTAATTAATTGTTTTACTTATTGTTTGTTTGTTATTAGTTTTGTTATTGCTATTATAATATTAAATGTTTAGGGTTGTTGTTTTTATTATTATTCAAGTTAATATAAATAATCATATTATACAAATTTTTTATTATTATAACATAATTATTGATGCTGTTATTATTATCGTTGTTATATTTAATAATAATGAATAATTAGTTAAAAATTATTAGTATTATTATTAACTATAACTGAACCATATAATTCCAGTGTAAGTGCATATTTATTTATAGTTTTATTTTTTTATTAATTTATTTATTGTTTGTTATTGTTACTGTTTTTATTATTGTATGATTTAACTATTATTAAGGTCATTATTATTATTATTATTGTCACCTCAGTCTAAATGCAAAACAGATCGTAAATTTCACCTCTATGTAATTACATGTGTCAGGTGTGATAATGAGCACACGTGTGTCAGCGTATCACCAGAATAATCATGATTTTGTTGTTGATGATTGAAGTGGCATAGAGGCAAGTCTCATATATAAATATATATTTATATATATCTCATATATATTTTATATAAAGATAGCACAGGCACACTGTGCACCTGTATACTCCAAATTTTCTCTGAATTTTAGATTGACCCACACTAAATCATGTCATACAAAAACATGCAGTTGCTCGCTTTTCCCGCCTAAGTGGACAGCTTTAGGCTCAATATAGACCAGACTTTATGCTGATAGTCAAAAGTCTGGCTGTGTAGTGAATTCAGTTTAGATTTTCTGTTCGGTTTCATTGTCTGGCACACTCTCGTTCTCGGCTTACAGAAGCGGCATCGCTCCAGTGACTCCACGGCGTCCGGCCGCGATCGCAGCTACAGCACGGATTCTGCAGACATGCGTCCGAGTCGATTGAAGGAGGAGCCGTGGCTGCAGGAGATCTCCAGCATGTTCCTGCAGCAATATGTGCAGTATCTGCAGAGCATGGGCTTCATCCTGGTGCAGGTCCGGCCGCAGTCACCCGCTCGCAGGTCTGTGTCCTGCAGAAAATCACTACGGATGCGTTCAGGTCATGTTGGAAAGATCAGATTTATGAGTTGTGCGCAACAGAAACAGTAACCTAAAAATGGTCACATCTAAATGAACTAGTTTAATTCAAGTCAAAAATATTATAATCACTGAATCAACCTAGATATAATAATTTATACCAACAATATTCATTTTTATGGGTTAAATCGGGTCAAAATGGCTCTTTAAAGGGATAGTTCACCCAAAAATGTGCTATTAATTTACTCACCCTCAGGCCATCTAAGATGTAGGTGAATTTGAGAATTTAAAAAAAGCATAGCAAGTAACACCATGGCTCCTGACCCGTGGCTCCTGACGATATATTGAGGTCTTACGAAGCGAAATGATCAGTCTGTGCAAGAAACTGAACAATATTTACTAAATCGGTACCTGTAATCCAGAGCCTCAGTCAGACGGTCCAGAGTGATGTTCGATTCACAAATGAATCATTCTTTTGAACTGGTTATCTTTAGTGAACAGGTTAAACCAGTTTGCCAAATCGGACTGAACCATCTGAAACAATACGCAGTTTACAGATCTACAAGTTACTCAATCAAAACTCACTTTTAGACGCCTGACAGTCACTCCGACACAAAATGAGCCAAAATACTGGCATATATCTACATCTCTCTCTCTCTCTCTACATATATATATATGTATGTATGTAATAGGCAGAAATATAGTATTGTACTTTTTTGTTTCTATGCAAACATAAGTAATGTTGCATAAAATGCATAGGAGATACTCATGAGATCATTAGAATACAGTGAGTACAAAAAAAGGATAAAAACGCGATATTACTCTTTACAGCTGATTAAAAAATAATCATTTGAAAATTAGTCACAGTGAACTCTCTATTTGTACATAGCCTATTAATGTATTAACAATATAGAGACAACAGTTTATAAACTATGAATTAACTAGTAACTATTAGTTTGCAAATGATTTATAAGCGTTTTATTACTGTATACTTATTATGTAGCACTTAAAGTGATTTTTATATATATATAATTAAACTAAGCATGCATGTACAAAATACCATAGTGTTATATTAGAATACATAACGATTCAAAAAGTACCACCTTCATAAATGGAACGAAAACAGAAAAAAAGCACCTGATGCACATTCTTTATTTATCATTTTGGAGATTGAAATGGAATTTCTCATTGAATTTTATATAGAAAATGTACATCGCCATCTTCCTCTGAACAAAGTGACGTCTTCCCAACTCGTTAATTCGACCTTTCCAGGAGGACTTGAATGTGATGCATGTTTCCGGATATCAAACAAGTGGTTTTGAACTGTGCATTTCAGTCATAAACACTGTTATTCACTTCACTCTTTCTGTCACAGAGCATTTAGCCTGCATTTACGTCAAGGTAAATTTGTGAAAATAGCTTTTATACCAACCAAACTGTAACGTCAAACATGACGTTTGTATGAAAACTTTAGTCATTTGGCGACAATAAGTTCAAGAATGAGTGCTTTTTGCTGAAGGCAGGTGTCTGTACAGTGTGTGTGTGTGATGTGCTAATGCTGGACACACTGCATTAAGCAGCAGGAGCGTGTGATTCAGTGTGATCGGCAGCGTGAGGGCCGCGTTACTGACGGGGTCAGATGCCCAATGGACTGCACACACACACATGCTCTCTCACTCTCTCTCTCATTCTCTCTGCAGCATCGCTCGAGCCCGAGCCGCCATGCTGAGTTCTTTATCCACTGAAGGCAGATCATCCTTCTCCTCTTTCTCATATAATAAGCAGAAGAGTGAAGACAGCCCCAAGGTACTTTATCTGCTCATCCATATTCAACCATTCAGTCACACTCCAGTTTTTCTTAATTCACATCTAAATTTCACATGCATTTCTTTATGTGTATCACAGTTCAAAGACACACACACACGCATTCGCCCCATTTCCATTGACACACTCCTTATCCCCTTCTGAATCCTATCTGAGTAAAGGCAAACATCATATTTGAAGAAAGGGTAAAAAGATGAAAATAAAATCTTTACATAAATAGGCTGTTTAATGAGACCTTAAATGAATAATTCACCCAAAAATGAAATTTCTTGCAATTTTTGCTTTCCATGTGATGGGTTTTGAAATGTCATCAGATTTGACATCATTGTTTGGTCAAAAGACACCAATGATGTTTAATGTAATAAAAAAATAGTATATAATAATAAATAATAAATAAATTGTTAAAAAATGAAAATAACAAAATGTGAAACCACTTAAATAGTGTGTGAAATCATTGTTTTTAATAACGTGCAACACAATTTTCTGTTAACATTAAAAATGTGAACACTACCATTCAAAAGTTTGGAGTCAGTAATTGTTTTTTATGTTTTTGAAAGAAGTCTCTTCTGCTCAGCAAGGCTATATTTGTTTGATTAAAAATACAGTAAAATCAGTAATATTGTGAAATATTATTATAATTTAAAATAACTGTTTTCTATTTGAATATATATTTAAGATCTAATTTATTTATGTATGACAATCTTAATTTTTTTTTAGCAGTTGTTTCTGATTATTATCAATGCTGAAAACAGTTTGTGCTGCTTCATATTTTTGTGGAAACGGTGATACATTTTTTTCAGGATTCTTTGATGAACAGCAAGTTCAAAAGAACAGTATTTATTTAAAATATTATTATTTTGTAATATTATAAATGCCTTTACTGTCACTTTTGAACAATTTAATACATCTTTGCTGAATAAAAATATTAATTTCTTTTTAAAAATCTTACTGACCCTAATATTTGAACAGTAATACATCTGTAATAAAATGACTTGCACCAGCTCCACTGCTATAGAGAATGGCTAACACACACACACACACACAGACACTGATTGTGTGCTTTCTGCGTCTCTCAGCAGAGCAATGCATCCAGCTCGGCATCATATCACCTGCAGAGGGCGCTGCCAGGAGGAATCGTCCTGATGGAGCTGGCTTTTCAGGTGAGACCTTCATGTGTCTGTGTGTCTCACATAGAATCGCCCCTTTTAGCACATCAGCCGAGAGCAAACGCTGGGCTTTTCACAGGAACGCTGTGAAAGTCTTAGCGGACGCTGAGGAGAGAGATGTTTAATGGATTCTGCCTCGCTCTGGCGCTATTTATGCTTATTAATATTTGAACACACAGAATCAACAGCAAGGAAACACTGCGTCATCATCTGATCTCCAGCTCTGCTCATGTCTAATATCTCTCTCAACTCAATGTCAAATTAATTTAATGGCATAGGTCTGTCAAAGTTAACGTGTCAACATATGCTATTAATAACAGTTTTGTTCTGATCGAAATCTCTGTTTACCCACGAGTAAAACACCAGTCATGCATAGAAATTTTCAACACCAGCAGATTACTTATGCATGAATCAGTGGCAAAAATACAAGTCCATAAATTGTGCTGAAAGTTGTATGTATGTATGCATGTATTTATTTATTTATTGCCAGAGTTGCATTCCCTGTGTTAATAATTCTAATAATAATAATAGAAATAATGATGATAATAATACATTTATTATTTTTATTATTATTATTATTATTATTGGTTTGTTATTATTCAAATCACAAATCTGAAATTTGAATAATAATAATAATAATAATAATAATAAAGAAAATTAATGATAAGGTTCTGTCTTGTTTTAATAAATGGGTTCAGAATAGTGCTTATTTATTTATTTATGGGTGAAAAGTTTTTCTATTTCACAGGTGATTATAAAAGAGATATTTATATTTGTTCAGTTTGCTAATAATTATGATGATAATAACATAATAGTGTGCACAGACGAATCGTGGCCAGGCCAAATTAAGAAAGCAAATTAATTAATTTTTTATTTATTTTGCCTTAAGAAGCTCCTGAATAAGGTGAACTATGCAGTTATGAATTTATCTACAGCTGATGCATAAATCTTATCATATTCTGACTCTGTTGCAGGGCTGTTATTTCTGCGTGAAGCAGTTTGCATTAGAGTGCTCAAGGATCCCCATGGGTCAGACGGTTAATTCTCAGGTAACACCATTTGCGCATTAAAAAAAACAACAGATAAGACCTGTGCATATGTGTTGAAGGAAGATAAAGTGAGAGTAAACGAGGTGTTTAAGAGCTCATGCTGTATTTCTGTGCATCTGTTGTAAGTGCCTGCTTGTAATCTCTGTGGATGTTTAATATGAGCAACAAGCAGCAATCATCTCCTTTGTTAGCAGGATTCACTGGTCAAATGTCTGTCTCTTTCGCTCTGATGGCGTGTTTAATGTGCAGTGGGTCCAGGTTGGCTCTAAATGAGGAGTAATTAAGTGTAAATATTTGTAAGTCTCCAGATGTTTCTCAGCAGGAAGGCTCTGATTTCTTCCAGAAGCCCATAAGGTGTCTCCAGTCACAGCTGCTCATATCCAGCAATTAAGTCATCAGCGTGTTTGTTTGCTTGTTTGTAAGTGCAGATTCTTCAGACTGAGCTTGAGGGCAAACAGGCAGAAAAGTCACAAGGACCCAGCAACTTTATATTTGTTCTGTTAGAATCCATAGTATTCGATTGCGTCAACAAACATTCCCAGCTGCCCGTTTGGTGTTATTTTTCATAAGGAATGAACAATCCAGTTATTGTTAATTATTCTGCTATGTTAATGCTACTTTTTGTTCCTGGAGAACCAAATATATCCACTTCCTGTAGAAGGATAAAGTAACATTTTCATGAAAAATCAGCAAATCCTCTTGAAGTCAGACGTGTTACACCTGTATTTAAAGGTCATAGTCAGGAAACTGTGCCATTTGTTACTGCTGAACTTTCATGAAATCATATTTTCATATCTTGGGCTCAAAGTATTAGTGCCGTTACGCCATATACATTAGTGAAGCTAGCTAATGCTAGTGCTTTTTCCCCAGTGGTCAATAAATATTACTGTTATTGTTTTCTCACAATTACAGTAGCAACGGTTCCCTTTCAGTCGGTCACTCTCGACGTCACGTCGGAGGACCGACGAAATTGGGATCTCGCTTAGAGGGACCAATCTACTTCGAGTGTAAACTAAACGAGCCAATGCAAATTGGCATGCGATTATTGCATCCAGCTGCTGCTGATCACAGCGTGAGTATAAGTAGGCAGCAGGTGCAGCGCATATTCAGCTTTTCGCTTCGGAGCCGAGCGATCACATCGTTCTGCTCCTGACTACTCTACTACGCTGTGATCAGCAGCAGCTGGATGCAATAATCGCATGCCAATTTGCATTGGCTCGTTTAGTTTACACTCGAAGTAGATTGGTCCCTCTAAGCGAGATCCCAATTTCGTCGGTCCTCCGACGTGACGTCTCCGTTCCCTCCTTCAGGGAACGAGGGTTACATACGTAACCGAGACGTTATTTATTGTCATTAAAGCGATGACAATGTCTGCTTTATCCTTCTATAATAAGTGGATATATTTGGTTCTCCAGGAACAAAAACATAGCATAAAAACATGAATATAGCAGAATAATTAACAATACCTTGACTGTTCATTCCTTATGAAAAAGTGATTGACGCAGAGGTGTAAAATTAACAACTGAAAATAAGTGAGACAAAGGTTAAAAAAAATGAAAATGAAATGAGGCTCAAAAGTAATTTCGAACAATAAACATAAAAAAAATAAATGTTTAGTAAAATGTATAAAATAGAAAAACAATAATAATAAATAAAACCAAAATGGGATGTGAATGTTGAAAAACAAAAAACAAGTACCATTGAATTCAGTTTTATAAGACGTTACAAGAAACCCAGACTAAAAATATGTTTTAAATTTAGATTATTATTAATAAAAAATATATACATTAATTGCATTAATATATTTTAAATGAATTATATTTCTTTTGTAAGCCATAAACCATTTTATGATAACCCTGTTATATATATATATATATATATATATATATATATATATATGGAATATCAGTTAATTTTTTCACAAAAACATTTAATTTATATATATATATATATATATATATATATATATATATATGGAATATCAGTTAATTTTATCACAAAAACATTTAATTGGTTATATATACAGTTGTATGTCAGTGAGATGCACAAATGGCAGTGTTTTCTGAGCATGAATAATCATAGTGAAGTTTTTTAATACTAAATATTTAGATTATTATCATTTTAATCATCTTCTCCCTGACATGTTACATTATAAATATATTTTTATATCATTAAATATACTTTTACTACTGCCAATACTTCTCCAGTCACTGTATTGCCAGATGAAGTTGATTTGTGGCACTGAATGTCATGAGAATACTTTCTATATATCTGACATTTATCAAGAGTTTGCTGCAGGAATTGAGAACAGTGGGAATAGATCACGATGTAACAGGAGCCATAAGAAGTGGATATTTAGCAGAGTTATTGAGTGAAAGGTCACGCCCGCTTCTCATCTATTCAGACTGCACACGCCTCATGCTCATCATTATTGATCATCTCATGTGACTTCCTGTAACACGCCCTCATACATAAGCGCAGTCTGTACTAGCGTGTGACAGTCAGCTTGTGCATGTGTGTTTTGTTCATTTGTGACCCTGGAGCACAAAACCAGTCTTAAGTCGCCGGGGCATATTTGTAGAAATAGCCAAAAATACATTGTATGTGTCAAAATTATTGATTTTTCTTTTATGCCAAAAATCATTAGGATATTAAGTAAAGATCATGTTCCATGAAGATATTTTGTAAATGTCCTACTGTAAATATATAAAAACTTAATTTTTGATTAGTAATATGCATGGCTAAGAATTTAATTTGGACAGATTTAAAGGTGATTTTATCAATATTTAGATTTTTTTGCACCCTCAGATTCCAATTTTTCAAATAGTTGTATATTGGCCAAATATTATCCTATCCTAACAAATCATACATCAATGGAAAGCTTATTTGTTCACCTTTCAGGTGATGTATAAATCTCAATTTCGAAAAATTGACCCTTATGATCTATTATGATATATTTGTGGTCCAGGGTCACATTTGTGTAAATTGACTTCTAACCTCTCTGTGTGGCATGTTTCTCATATGTCTGCCTCTGTTTGTTTGTGTGTGTCTCACTGTCCTGCATATGGCATGTGTGTGTGTGTGTGTGTGTGTGTGTGTGTGTGTGTGTGTGTGTGTGTTTGTCTACTCCCATCTCACTCTTTCTTTCGTGTGTGTGTGTGTGTGTCTCACTGTCCTGCATATGGTGTGTGTGTTGTGTGTGTGTGTGTGTGTGTCTAGTCCCATCTCACCCTTTCTTTCCATCAGGAGTCTCTTCTCAACAAACCTCCTAGCCAGCCATTCCCCGAGGTGCCCACGGCCTCTGACTCTGCGGTATGTCTCTGCATCCTCGGGGCGGGGCTCATCTCCCACCAATCAGGCTTCAGTCTTTCCCTCAGACTCCTCCCCCTTGTATTGCCTTGCTCCTCCCTTTCCTATTGCGGCCCCAATCACACCTTTCTGTGCGGTTCATTGAAAATCAGATGATTCCTTTCCATGTGTTTGTCTGTGTTTGTCCGCGGTGCATCTTGCCGGAAAGCCCCTCGAGGTGCTCGTGAATGTGGCATGTTCTGCGAGGTCACGGGGTCACTTTTCTCACAGCTCTGATAGGCCAATGATCTCTTTTTTTCTTTGCTCAATGATTATCCCTGATTTTCTTCAACTCTTGTTGCATCTTGATTTGGATCTGCTAGTTTCCTTTTAAGGGAATCATCAACTATAATTCTGAGGCAGTTCAATATATTATATTTTTCTTTATAGATAAGCTGAAGAAACAAATCTGATAATGCTAATTTTCTTTCATTTAATTTTGTAATGTTTTGGCTAATTTGGAACACTCATAATTTGCTTTTCACAACTAAACTGTTTCAAAATGAGGAAATCACAAATGCTATCTTCAAGTGGAGCATTTCCACTCAGTCTTGATTGCTTCCACTTGAAACAAGATAGGAAACAAAAGACTCAAAATCAACATAAATGCTTTGCTTGACCTATTTTACTTCCAAAATCTGGTGTATAAGATATCGATCTAGAAAATGTTGAGTGGGAATTGACTGGTTTGTGAAATGTGGAATGGAGTTTGTAGGTTTGAAATGCAAGATGGATTCATGATATTGACTGAAAAAAAAAAAAAATGCAGTTAATTTTTGTATTACACTTTATTTTAAGGTGAGATTGTAGAAATATTAATTAACTACGTATACTTACTATAGGGTTAAGGTTAGGGTTTGGGGTTACGCTGTATTTAATGGTGTTGTGATAAAGACCCTAACAGTCACAAGGAAGATCAAAATCACGGGAGCAAAGTTCACATTCAAAATGGTGTTTATTTCGAGCAGAAGTGCAAAATGTGCAAATAAACATGTTTAAGAGCTTAAAACAAAGATTATTAACAAAAACAGTCTGAAACCAGAACTGGCAAGTACTTAAAACAGTATTAACTCCCCTCCACAACATTGAGGCTGGTTACGCTTACACAGCAACTCAGTAATCTCGTTCAAGAGCTCTTATTCTGCCCTCCTCTCTCATACCACTAGTAACGGCCATCTTAAATCCACCTTTTTCCCGCTCATACAAATTGAAACATGATGCATGTGCATCATGCTGGTGCACCAAAGTTGGTTTACATGTAACATGTAATAAGTACACTAAAATAAAGTGTTACCGGGTTTGTTTTATTGTTAATTGCTTGTAATTGTGCATAATTTACTGTTATTATTACAGTAAGTGCATATAACACATGATAAGGACACTAAAATCAGGTGTTACCAGGTTTGGTTTAGGGTTAGTTACTTGTAATTATGCCTAATTTAACGTTATTACTACAGTAAGTGCGTATAACATATGATAAGGATACTAAAATAAGGTGTTACCGGCTTTGGTTTAGGGTTAGTTACTTGTAATTATGCATAATTTAACGTTATTACTACAGTAAGTGCGTATAACATATGATAAGGATACTAAAATAAGGTGTTACCGGCTTTGGTTTAGGGTTAGTTACTTGTAATTATGCATAATCCACTGTTATTACTACAGTAAGTGCATGTAACGTAAAAATTTATTTTAGTGTCCTTGTTACAAGGTTTGATTTAGTGGATAATTGCTTGTAATTACACACAGTATTACATGTTATCAGCTGTTATTACCACAGTAAGTGCATGTAACCTCTAGCTACACCTTAAAATAAAGTGTTACCAATTATTGCAATTTGACTAAAGAATTATTTGGAATAATGTGTACAAATAAAATTAATAAAAATAAGACAAGGTACGTTCATTAAAAAGTACCAATGTTTATGTCTAGTGTCATGGAAAGGTGATTTTGTGAGGTTACCAGGGCAGCCAGGTAGTAGTGAAAGTACACCGTATACAGTAAAAACTGTAAAAGTATGAAAGTAGAACACCTAGAACTCTCGAAGTGATGCCAAAGTCCCTTTAAGGAAAGTTCACTGAACGGTCACTCAAGTAATGCCTCGGGCAGCTGTTTCCAGCCATGCAAGTACAGCTTCATCTGATTGAACGGAGAAAAGCTAAAATTTGTATTTGTCAAAATTCTGTTTGTGATTTATTTCAGATCAATAAAATGTGACAAGAATTATATTATAGCTTAAAATCAGTGTTTCTTAAGTGCAAATCACTCAAAAACCAGCTAATGCACATGCATCATCAAGAGTAAACAAACAGTCTGTTTGCTATTTGAGCTCTAATGCATTCAGCTGCTTCATTGAGTGTACTGCTGCCTCTATCAAAAGGGATATTGGCTGTTTTACCTGTAGGGCAGGACTACAGCTGCCGTTATGATTGCTCTCATTTATATGTTCAAGTGGACAATCTCCTACATTTATAAAGCCTCTGGTGACATGTTACAGAGCTTGACCTGTGCAACTCGTGGCATCTGGGAAAACACCATAGCATTCAATGCAATGGAAAACGTCAAAGGGCTTCAATTCTCTGATTGTGGGTATTTGGTGTAATTAAGAGTATCATGAATGCAAACACAACATACTAACCACTGCAATCATAGCAAGCTGTGAACAGAGCCGTTTTCATGCACATGACTGAGAGGAGAATCGATATTATCTTTCCTCATAACTTTCAGTCAAATGGGCAGATTTCAAAATGTTGACGTGAAAAACGTTTCTCACGCAGGGATGAAAGGTGCAATTGCGCGAGCTGTTTTCTGCTTTCTGCAAATGGGACAGCCACGGCAGCGTCAAATGAACAGTGGTTTTTTTTTTTTAAACCTCGACTCTTTGATTTGATAAGACCTATTTGCATTTGTTCCAGGGTAATGGTCAGGATGAAAGCGGCAGCGGTAATAGCGTTTAGCCGTCGAATCCAGCGCCCTCCCCACCTCCTGCTCCCATTGTACTGTAATTACTCCTGCTCTCTCCCTCTGCAGTCATTTGCATTCACCACTAATGTTTTTGTAAACACGGCTTTGATGTGAGAGTTAATTAAATCGGATACATTTATTATGTTGATTGATATCACAGATGCTTTTAAAAAGACTCTTGTAAAGGTTTGGCAGGTCGCTGGTTTGCTCTTCACGAGTCAGCCACGTCGAGTTTTAGATGTGATGTCAGGTTTGAGGTGCGCTTGGGGGATTTTCACGAAACCCATCAAGAGCATGTCTGGTTCAGATTTCAGCTCCAAATCAAGCACCATTAAGATGGTGTGCATTGCGACTTCATTTCCATGACATTTACACAGTTTGCGAGATGCAAGAAGTTTCCACTGACAAGTAATTAGTCAGATCTCACAGAAAGTGAAAATGATGCGTGACACTGTCACAACCATTCACAACACATTTGATGTTTACTATATATGTTTTTAAAAATAAATTTATTTATTTTGTTCAAGAGTGGCATTTATTTATATTTATGCATTTATTTCAGTTTAATAGTGGCATGATATTTATTTTTATTTTTTGTTTAATATTGGAAGTTATTTATTTATTTAATTAGCAGTGGCATAATATTTATATTAGTGCTGTCAAACGATTAATTGCATCCAAAATACAAGTTTTTGTTTACATAATATATGAGTGTATACTGGGTTTATTTATTATGTACATTCAGTATATATTTTGAAAATATTTATATGTATATACATTTATATATTTATATTATTAGATTATATATAAATATATTTAATACATAAACGTAACATATTTTTCATAAATATATACATGCATGTGTTTGTATTTATATATAATCATAATAAATATACGCAGTACACACACATATATTATGTAAACAATTATTTTGGATGCGATTAATCATTTGACAGCTCTAATTTATAATTTCTAATTTGTTTAGAAGTGGGATTTATTTATTTGTTCATTCGTTTGTTTGTTTAATAGTGGCATACTATTTATATACTTTCTTAATTTATGAATTTGTTAAATTTTTGTTTGTTTGTTTGTTTATGTTTAATAGTGGCATATATATTTTAATTTTTTATTTATATATGTTTAATAGTGACTATTTCTTTATGTAGATGGTTTGATGTATTATATATGCAAATGTTTTGATGTATTATAGTCAGATTTTGGAGATATTATTACTATAATATGAAACGTACACTATTATATAAACGTATTACAGTAATGAAAATGTAATTAGTAATAATAGAACTTGAATGTATTACAGTGTAAAATCTGATTATTTGTCATGAAAATAATGTCACAAATCTAAATGGTCCTAAGCAACGGTTAATGTTTATGCAAAATATAATTTCATATTTATTTTCTTTTGATGTGGGGTTGAAATGTGGCCTGGACATGTTTTTTTTCGGGCAGACTTCGATGTGAGGCTGCTTTCATTTGACCATCTGTAGAGAAACTATTTCATTAGGTTTTGAGGATCTGGAGTTGATGGGATGATGTTCCTGCTACTGCTTGCGTTCTTCCTCTGGGGTTCTGATGCCTTTGATCCGAGGGGTCTCTCGCAGGTGATGTGGAGTGATGCAGCGGTGTGTTCTGCTCCTGCAGTAACTGTGTTCATGTGTGTTTCTGCCCTCAGCTGTCCATGCTGTTCACCGAGGAGTGCGATAAGGTGCGGGATCTGATGCACGTTCACTCCTTCAGCTACGACTTCCACCTGCGTGTGGTGCATCAGTACCTCGTGGGCTGTCACATGACCCTGCGGCAGGGGTACCAGCTCACGGCCTTTCTGGAGGACTTCATCGCCCATCACCCCGACATACCAAAGTTCGGACGCAACCACGTCTTCCAGGGTGAGCGCATGTCAGAAACAGCCATCTATTTCAACTTTAGCACATTTAGCACAAATACAGTTGATTGTATTTTTATTTTTGTGTTTTTCTTGTCATTTGTCTGGCCTCATTGTAAGTGAAAATAATGCTGCATGACACTGTCACAGTAATTCACAACAATGTATTTATTTTAAAAGGGGCATATATTTATATATAGTTTTATTTATTTACAGTGGGATATATTTATACACAATTTTATTTATTTATGTTTAATAGTGCCATATATTTGTATTTATAAAGGCTTTTATTTATGTATGTATGTTTAATAGTGACAAGTATTTATTTATTTATTTATATGTTTAATAGTGGGATGTACTTATACCTCATTTTAGTTATGTTTAATAGTGACATATATTTATATATAATTTTATTTACATATGTATGTTTAATAGTGACATTTATTTTCTTATTTATGCATGTATGAATGTATGTTTAATAGTGGGATATAAATTGTAAAGTATTTATACACCATGTGAGTTTATGCTGTTGGTTAAAAAAAATAGTCAAAATGCAGTAATGAGAATCTTATTAGTAATAATAATGACAGTTACAGAATAACTTGGATTCAAGTGTAAAATTTGATTATATCTCAAATCTCAGTGGTCCTAAGGTTTTATTTTTTGTTATGCAAAATATAATTTTGTATTTATAATTTTTTTTTATTTTGGGTTAAAATGTGACCTGGACGTTTTCAACCAGATTCGCCCACTGATAGGATATAGTTCATGTTATATTTATTCTTTGGTGTTTTTCTTGTTTTTGCCAGTCATGCATAATATGCTTTCATGTGTCCTAGGGAGTTTCTCCATATCGACGGGAATGATCACAGCACATCAGCTGTATAATTACATCACTGATCACGCCGGCACTTACGGGATGAAGCCCTTGCGCATGTCTAAAGCTGCAGTTACCACCGATAACAAGAAGGGGGCGCCGAGCGCAGACCTGCACGAGTACGCACTGGTCGCTCTGTGGAACAGGTACTTTAACTGTTCACTCCTAGTTTCAGCAAGTGATGTTGTCATTTCATGTATCGTTCATATCATATATCCTAATATCATTCTCGTGAAGCTCTGGCTCATTTAAAGACTTGGAGGGATTGCGACACCATGATGACTTTGACGTGTCGCTGCTGGTTTGTCATAATGCCGCCCCGTTTGAGGAGCAGTCTGAAGGAGAGAGACACCTGCTCAGGTACAAACGAGGAATACAGTGACTTTGGGAAGCACATTATGGCATCAGTTAAACACTACATTGGTAAATAACTCAGTACAGCCGTTAATACAGTTAAACTCTAGGCGAGAACAACATGAAACAACATTTGTAATATAGTTCACTTCTGTGACTTCTTAGGTACTTTCTGCATGAAACTGAATAATCAGAGGAAAACGATATAGACTTCTGGGACTTTTGGATGCCATGTATCCATTTCCGTCCATTTTTGTTATATAATATTGTAAATAATAATATGGGTATTATTTGTAACATTACTGTAAATAAATAAATATTATAAATAATAATAATTATACATATCTAAATAAATAATATTAATATAAAATTAATATTTATATTATTTACACTACAATAAATAATAATTATTATTGTATTATTATTTTTAATTAGTATGAATAATAACGATAACAATAATAAATATTAATAAATTATTTAAAATCATAAATAATATTATAGATCTTATTTATTTATTCTGGATAATATGAATTTATAAATTATGTTATTAATGATGATATTGATATATTATTATAAATAAATAGTAATTTATTATTTTATTTATAAAATATTAACAATATTAATAAATAATCATATTTTTATATTTAAAATAAATAATAAAACATTATAATACAAATATTATATTAATCAATATATTATATTAATAATAATTATTATGATTATGTATTGTAAATACAAATATTAATAAGTAATATTATAGATCATATGAAATTATTTATTCTAGAAAATATTAAGTATTAAGAAATAAAGTAATTATTTTCCCCCAGCTGCACGGTTATGTCAGCAGAAAAGAAAAGTGGAGAAAGTGATTACATTTTCATTATAGATTATAAAAGCAAAATTTTGGAATAAAGTGCACTGATGGGGGAAACATCGATGTTTATTCATATATTTGGGTTTGTTCTGACTTCAGGCTGCGTTTCTATGTGATCATGACCAGTCAGAGGGAGCTGTTCCCGCGTTTGACTGCAGACATGCGGCGCTTTAAGAAGCTTCCTCAGATCCACCGTGACCTCGGTGACCCCGGTGACCCTGGTGACTTCAGCGGCTGCATCCCTGTGGAGCGGATGGAGGCTGGCAGCCCGGGGGGGCGGGAATCTGAACTGGACCTGTGGGAGGACACCACCGCCCCCGTCACCCCTCCAGCCAGCCCTGAATCTGACCCCATAGAGAGCCTCCTGCACGCGGGACAGGCCGGCCTCGCAGATGCAGACGCAGACGACTCTCAGGGGCTCTTCTACCTGTGTCCTCTCTTCCCCCTGCTCAGTTCAGAGGTGCTGTCTGCGCGCCGGCAGATTCAGAGCAGCGTGGAGCAGGCCATGGGTCACTGCCGCAGGGATAACCTCTGGAGGAGGCTCTTTCACGGAGAGCACTTGGCTCTGGATAAGCTCAAGCTCAGCAAGCTGGCCTTCGGTGAACTAGAGGAGCTGCTGGACGCTGTGCAGAGCAGATCGGTCGCTGAGATTGACCCGCAGCTGGTATGAAAACACATCCTCTGCCCTTCACCTCTGAGACCATCTTTCACACCCATTCATCTAACATTTTATATTCCTTTCTCTTTGTTCTCTAGCAGGCACTTTCCACAAAAAGGTACAAAATAGGGTCTGAATAGGGTTTTTTATTTTCTTTCTTTTTCAACAAATACGTGAAAGCACCAGGAGGTCACATAACACTGGTCCCGGTTTTTGTGAAATTAAATTAAATTAAATTAAAAATATTATAAATATTACTATTATTAATAATAATGATAAAAATAATAACAATATTAATTATTTTATTATTATTATTATTATTATTAAGTATTTAAAAAATAAGAAGAAAAATAATGTTATAGATCTTATTAAATTATTTATTATGGAAAATATTACATTTTTAATTTATACATTTTTATACAGTGTTTAATGTTAATTACCACTATTAATAAAGTTAAATATAAAGTTCAAATAAACAACGTTAATATTTTCCCCAATTGATCCCTCTTTGTGTGATTAATAAATATAATTAAACTAAAAATGTATTTATCAATTAAAGTAATAATAATCAATTAAATAATCAATTTCAATAATCAATTAAATTAAGCCCTGATCCTTGTCTGTGGGATAATTTAATTTAATTTAATTTAATTTAGCAATAAATAATAAATACATTTTTGATAGATTTAGGTTGCAGATTTACCCTAAATTAGGTAGTTTGGGCCCAAATCTTGTTAGTTATTGATAACTTGCATTCTGCATTAATTAAATAAAAGTATTTGTTTGATTTGGTTTTTAAAATAACTTTGGTAAAAAGTTTGAAATGTTGACAAATGCAGTAAGCACTATAATAATTGTTTACTACTATTGTATAATATTAATTAAGCAATACGATGTTTTAAAAGTACTTTGCATGTTAATTTTATGCTCAATCCTAACAAAATAGTTCTCAGAATTTAAAAAATATCAAATAAAATAAATCAATAAAATAGGAGCTATAGGACGTCCTGTTCATGGAAAGTGCAGCACTCTGTTTTCCTGTACACACTGACAGCAGTCTTTAAGAAAGCGTGGGAAAATGGCATGTTTTTTCCTTTGTTCTGCAGTTTATTGAGGACGGTTTGATCAGCGGCTGGCTCGGTGCAGTTTGTTTGATGGCTGGCTGACAACAAACATGCTAATGCAGCACTCCGCAGGGAAAACACGCGGCCTACTCATCAGCACACTGCGATAAACATCAGCTAATTAGCACAGGAAATCAGCCCTTTAATATTACACTCCGTTCCTTATTTACGGCATAAATTATCCCTCCTGGACCAACACGTGCACAGATTCACACGCCGCATCCTTCACCAACAGGGTGCTCGTTCGTGATTTGATTACACAGCAGCAGTTACTCTAAATGTGCCGCTCATGCCAACAAACATCACTGTGTTTGATACAGCACAGATGTATGTAGCTTCAGACATGGAGGATTTGTTATACAGAGGACCAAAACTGAATCATAAAATAGCTCATTAATAACTGAGTGAAAAAGTTTGGGATCAGTAAGGTTTTTTAATGTTTTTAATGTCTCTTCTGCTTGCCAAGGCTGCATTTATTTGATCAAAAATACAGTAATATTGTGAAATATTATTACAATTTAAAATAACAGTTTTCTATGTGAATATATTTTAAACTGTAATTTATTTCTGTGATGCGCAGCTGAATTTTCAGCATCATTACTCCAGTCTTCAGTGTCACATGATCTTCAGAAATCAGTATAATATGCTGATCTGCTGCTCGAGAAACATTTCTATTATTATCAATGTTGAAAACAGCTGAGCTGCTCCATATTTTTGTGTGATATATTTTATTTTTCAGGATTTTTTGATGAATAGAAAGTCCAAAAGAACAGCATTTATTTGAAATAGAAACCTTTGCTAACATTATAAATGTCTTTACTGTCACTATTGATCAATTGAATGCATGCTAAAAGCATAAAAGTGTTAATTTTTTTCAACAACAACAAAAAATCCCAAATTGCCTCCAAACTTTTAAAAAGGTGTTGTAAATAAATGTGTATGGCACAAAATAAATAATACATACGTAAATAGATGATCCAGTGGATAAATTGTTTTATATATATCAGTCATATATTTATTTATTTATTAATTTACTAATGTATTCATTAATAATAATAATTTATTGAATTTATTTATTCTAAGGATCATTTATATCTGTATTATGCATTTATTTACGGTGTATTTCCGACTGATATTTCCAATATGATAATGAGGTGGTGGTCGGTTGCCCCTATTGCCTGATCCATCATGCAGTACTTTATTACAGTTTTGCAGAACTGAAAATCACAAGAAATCATCCGGTTTCAGTGTAGGTTCTCAACAGGCGTCATACGTGACACGGGCTGTGAAAGATGTGCTGCGGGATCACGGCTGGCAAACATGCTCCCGTTCATGTGCCATAGCCTCAGATTCCCCCACGGACGCCCGCATATCAATGCATTTGATTCCTCATCTATATCATCTATTCTGTATTCCCTTCACACGAGCAGAATCGCTTAGTCAATGTTAGCGAGCGGGCCGCTCGTGTGCCACGACTGCTAATCTGAGCGCTGGGATGATGTACAGCGCTGTCAGAGGAAGTGGAGATGTACTCCTGCTGTGATATCAGACCAGGAGAAACTTGCTGCAAATTACATCTTTTTACAAATTTACTGCCGCAGCCAGACTGTGAAAACTGCCTTCCTGTGGTTTCGCTGACTTGAAGCGGCCGATGAAATCTGATCTGAAAAATAATAATGCTTTGTGTGCACAGCTAATTTAAAGAGAAATATTCTGCTCCAGTATTTCAGGAGCTCAAAGGCTTTTTAAACACTTTTTCAACTTTTATTCAAACTTAAAATGTACATATCAATTTTGTTATGCATAACTATCCACATAATAGTAACTTACGTGCATATTTATGCATATAATTAGAATTTTGCGCTTTTGACAGTATTATTCACTTATTTTTCAGCACACACACACACACACACCATAAATGCATAAATAATGTATGTGTGTAAAGTATATTTTATTGGACATATTTACTTAGAAAGTGCATTAATGGACAAAGTTTGGCCTGGAAAAATATTTACATTTTAATCAAATATCAGTGTGAAAGATTTTATATAATTGTTATTTTTTGTTCATTTTTTATTTTATTTGTTTGTAAAATATTCAATTGGTAAATTACTGTCTACGAACTATTTTAAATCGTATTATTATTGTAGCCTTTGATGCTGATATGGTGTAATAAACTAAATCTATGCAAAAAACAAAACAAAACTGAATAAGCATTATAAAAGTGCAAAATGAAAATTCTGTCGCTCGTGTCATTGCAAACCTGTACGAGGTTTTTGGTTGGTAAGATTGTTTCATGTTTTTGAAAGAAGTCTCTTCTGCTCTATAAGGCTGCATTTATTTGATCAAAAATACAATAAAAACAGTAATATTGTGACATATTATTATCATTTATAATAACTGTTTCCTAGTTTAAGGGAAAAAAATATTGAATGATCTTGATAAAAGTGCAAAATTTAAATTCTATCGTCATTGATGTCATTGCAAACCCGTATGAGTTTTTGTAATTGTGTTTTTTAGGACTGTTTCCTGAATATGAGTCCCGCCTGGTACCAGAGTCTCATCAAAGTCCTGCTGTCCCGCTTCCCACAGAACTGCAGGCACTTTAAAGACGACTGCGGCATACAGTACCTGGTAAGAGATCGCTTCTGCTCACCAAGGTTGCGTTTATTTGAGCAAAAATACAGAAAAGAAAATCTGTAAAATTGTGAAATATTATTACAATTTAAAATAACAGTTATCTATGTGAATATATTATAAAGTGGAATTTATTCCTGTGATCAAAGCTGAATTTTCAGCATCATTCCTCCAGTCTTCAGTGTCACATGATCTTCAGAAATCATTCTAATATGCTGATTTGCTGTTCAAGAAACATTTATGATTATTATCAATGTTCAAAACAGTTGTGCCGTGACGCATTTTTTCAGGATTCTCTGATGAACTGAAAAACAAGATTTGCAGGGACGAGCAACACTTTTGTAAGCTCATATTCACAGTCCAGATCTCTGCTGTTCATATTCAGCTTTGCACATGAAGCAGATCCTCAGGCTGTACAGTCGTGTCGTGGGCCGTGTGAGATGTTAGTCCCGCTGGCCGCGTCATAGTGCATTACGAGACGGGAAGCGCTGATGGCAAAGCGCTCTTGAGTCATTATTCTCCTGGAAAGACCTTGAACTTGGTTACTTGAGGCCCGTGAAACACATGGTAAAGCGTGGTACATTACGAGACCTCCTTGCCTGTGTACTAGTTAATGTGAGCGAGTCCTCCCGATGATAATCGTCAGATCCTCAAGTGTGTTTGAAGGCCACTTCATGCTTCATTCTGTAATTGGAGATGTTGTGGGCTTATGCAGATTTCCTGAACTGATGATCATTTCATCCTCCATATTCACACAAACAACACCTGCCTTTGTTTCCCTGAGGTTGACGCTGTGTTTCCTAATGCTGAGCACCGATCCGTGAAATGGATTGTGAAGATCAGGGTTAAATTTAAAAATAAAAAGAAACATCTGGTGTTGAGATGTTGAGTGTTTAAATAGTGTGTTGTTTGGACATAATCTCTCTCTCTTTTCCAGGCCGTCCTGAACCAGAAGTTCACTGACTGTTTTGTGCTCGTTTTCCTGGACACACAGGCAGGAAAAACTGTGAGTTCATTTTATTTTATTTTAAATAGTTTTATTTTAAGAATTGTCTTCTGATCATTAAACAGATATCGACCAATTTAAACACTACATTTCAATTATAAAACTTATATTGTATGTTATTGTATTGTATACTGTACAATACATTACACTAAGCATTTTTCTCCTAGTTCTCATTACCATCATGCTTTTTTGTTGTTGTTGTTGTTTTGTAATTATTATTCTTAAGGGTGATTCTCATTTTTGTAATGCAGTAAGTCTTACTATTTAATCTTTATATTAAAATAAAGGAGTATTGTAATATAATTGTAATAATAAATAAAAATATAATAATTTTTTTTTGTATTTATCGTTCTTTTGATTATGGGGTGAAATGTGGACTTGTTCTTGTCAGATAAGGTTCATTCATTCAGTCGTTTACTGTACATCAAACATGATCCCAGTGTAAATCTCAGCGTTTCACTGTCTTCTGCTGCCTCCAGAGTCTGAAGGTTGTTTTCAGGGAGCCGTTACCTGCGCAGACGCAGTCGAGCAGCAGTCCTCCACCGCAGCTGGTCTCCATGTACCACCATCTGGAGTCGGTCATCAACACCGCCTGCTACAACCTCTGGACGGGCCTGCTGTGAGCCTGTGTTTCTGCCAGCGGTGCATCAGACGGAGTCCAGTGTCTGATAAAGATTGAGCTTTGAGCTGCCTGTCGCTCTTAGACTGAGACTGAATGTGTCTCGCGTGTGTAATGCATGCTGTGTGGACCAGGTTGCATCCATTTAAGGAATTAAATTGCCAATATTTAGCTTAGGAAAACAGCTAAATGTGCCGCCCTGTTGATGGAGGGTGATTATCCGGGAGGGTGTATTTACTGCGTGTCAGACTCCGCTGGTTTGACAAAGCCATACTGTCCTTCTGTAGTCTAGTGTTCATTTGCGCTTTGTTTTTTTCCTCCATCTCCTCTCAGTTGTTGATGTTGTTTCTGTAGCCCGTGTGCAAAATATATATTTTTTTTTGCCCCATCATTTTGTGCAACATGATTGTCTTTACTGCCGTTTTTTCATCCCAAAAGTGCCTTTATTTTATTTTCATATGAAATTGATGGGAGCTAGTGTATTATGTTCACCTTTCAAGAAGAATCTCTTAAAGGGACAGTTCCTGCAAAAATGTAATTGTCATCATTTACTCACCCTCATGTCATAACAAACCTGTACGAGTTTCTTTCTTCTGTTGAGCACAAAAGAAGATGTTTTGAAGAATGTTGGTAACCAAACAGTTGATGGTAGCCATTGACTGGAGAAAAACATACTATTGAAGTCAATGGCTTTCTTCAAAACATCTTCTTTTGTGTTTAGCAGTTAAAAGAAACTCATATGGGTTTGGAACAACATGATAGTGAGTAAATGATGACAGAATTTCATTTTTGCGGGAACTGTCCCTTTAAATTAGTCGCATGGCCTTCACGTACCTTCAACATAAAGAGCGGGCAACAATTAGTCTTACTAACTAGCACAGCGCTGAAACGACACTGGAAAACCTTTGAGACTCATTTCACATGAAGGGGGATGATTTACCTCCTGCAATGACAGGCGCCGAAGAATGAAATTGTTTTACTGTTTGGTTTTCTCGGAGCACACTGGACATTTTTGAAAGAAAGATTTATTAAAATGTTAGAACATTAATTAGCAATTCAAATGTGTGAAAAGGTCATTTGTACATTATGTATATAGAGGCGGATTTGTAAGAAAAACGCTTAACAATAAATCTTAAATTAAAACATCTCAAGTGTTCCTCATGTGCAATGCCTTGAAAGATGGAAAAATTCATATTTCATAGCTACTGACGAGTCAAATGTTAATAAAACAACTGAAAATGGGAGTCTATTTAAGGTTTAGAAAATTACTTTCTTGTCATTTTAATACAAGAATGCTTTTTAGGAAAAAAAGTTATCTCCAGTATCTTCTGAGCCAGTCCAGACCCGCTTCTGTGGAGCCTGGACAATCATATTTACAAATATGAACTATCAAGAATGAAATTTCACTCTATACTCATTGCAGAGTTGCTGAACTATCACACTGGCTGCAGTCTGGAAATGAAGCATCTCAAAATGAGATTTAGACTCTTTATCTATACTGTTTTTGTGCAACAGTATTTCTGTTTTCATCTTGAAATTGCATTGGTCGCGAGCAGTGGACTTGTCAACGTATATCCTCATGGATGTGTGCTAATCAAAGCAATGGTGAGTATTCAAATGTTAAAAATGTGCAGTGAGTGACTCGCGCTGAGGTTTGTTTTCACAGCCGATGTAGTCCTGATAGCCCAGCTCCTCCAGAAGCTCAGCTCTCCGTCACTGTCCGGCTCGGGGCGATCTGGATGTGACCTGTGACCTGTGACCGCGCTAAAGCCGTGAGTCCATAGACAGATTTTCTTATGCAGCGCATGGATGCTTCTGGCCCAATGTAGAACAGGGCTTTTATCATTAACTCAAAGAAAAACCACCGAAACCACAAATTATTACCTGACATGAAACATATGATATGAAAATATGTATTTTTTAAAATGTAGTATTTTATTTCAGCTAGTTGCCAAGTCACCATTTCTTATTTTTAGTTGAAGTTTAAGTACTACGATAACTAAAATTAAATGAAGTTAGAAACTAAAACACAATACAACTATATAGACATGTTTAAAAATTATAATAATAAAAATGACAAAACCACAACTACAACTACAACTACAACTTTAACCAAAATAAAATCTAAAATGTAATTCAAAATATTAACAAAAATCATAGCTGTAAATCAAAATATATATATATATATGCATTGATGAATCATTCACAATAAAACCAGGAACATGTATTAAAAAGTACATTCTAATCATACTGACCTTAAGAGCATTATTATTTTAGCATTGAGATACTATTATAGTTTTTATTAATATTTTGAATGTTATTTTATAATTGTATTTTTTAATTTTAGCTAAAGTTGTAGTAATTTCGTAGTCCTTTTTAGAAGTTTTTGTTATATATATATATATATATATATTTGTCTAGATAGTTTTTTTTTAAAATACATTTTTATTTGTTTTAGTACAAGTTAAACTAAATTTTACTTAATAAATTAATTTAAATTAAAATGAGAAATGTTGCCTTGGCAGCTAGCTGAAATTAAAAGGATATATATACCCTATATACACACACTCTCTCACACACACACACACACATATATATATATATATATATATATATATATAATTTTTATAATATATAATTTTTTTTCAGTTAATGTTTATTTCAAGTAACAATTCTTTAGTTGAATTTTTAGTTTCAGTATCAGTTAACTATAATAATCCTGTTTAAGACTCCCACATTTACCTGTCGTTGGTAAGTATTTGTGTATATTCTGAGTTAAGTTGCCATCCATGATCTGCCAGTGGAAGATGTCCTACAAGAGCAGAGAGACAGAGCAGTGATGTTGTGTAATCTGTGTTGTTGTAGAGTGCGGATGATCGTCTTGGCTGTGGGTTTTATGTTCCTCAGACGATGCTGAGCAGGAGACAGAGAGCCGTTCACAAACCCACTGAAACACAGCAGCTGCCTAATGCACCGCCGGCCTCCACAAACTCCCCTCGTATCATTTATTCAGCACTAGAATCAAAGAGCGCTGAAAGTGATTTTATTATCCTGGAAAGCACAGCATGTGCAGTGCAGCCGCTCCGTAATGAGATGAGTGAAAATGACTTCACATGATGCTCATTTCTCACCGCTGCAAACACAACAGAAATGAAGGTAAAACGCAGAACACAACAGGTTGAAAGAGCAGATAACTAGATTCTTACAGAAAACATGAGTGCTTTGACTGTGTGGTCTCTGAGGTGTTTTTTAGTGGACTGTAATGTGGTTACTAGCCAAAAATAGCGGCCAAAAATGACTATTTAAACGAAATGAATGTAATATATATTTAGTTTGTTTAGTTTGCATGCACAAAACTAAATGTTGAAAACGGTCGTGCTGCTTCATAATTTTGTGGAAACATTATTTTCAGGATTCCTTGATGAATAGAAAGTTCATAAGAACAGCATTTATTTGAAATAGAAATTTTTTGCGACACTATAAATGTTATATGTGCATATACATTTTTACTTTTATATTTACTTTATTTATATATATATATATATATATATATATAATTTCTTTATTTATTTATTTTTTTTACTTTATTCTAAAAAGTGCATGTCACTATGTTTATGTTGTGTAGTCTATGTTTTAATACAGTATTCCTGGAGGAAAAAATCATAACCAAAAAATAAATAAACAAATAAAAGAATATTGTGTCTGTGGAAACAAATGGAATGTAAACAGAAATAAATGAAAATTAGAAGAATGTTGCATGAATGAGCATAAATTAATTTACTTATAAGTGAATTAATTATTAGCGATTGCTGATCAAATCAGCAGTCTTTGAGCGATTTATTAGGCTTTACTTTTTCGAACTATTACAAGATTGTATGACTGCCATGGATAGTTATTTGAATGTGTACAATGAATTAGCCAGTTGTATCAGAACAGTGTAGAGTTAAGTAGGATGGAGGGTCTGCCACTGAGAGACTTCTGAGAGCTCTGAACTAAAGCCTGAACTTCTACAGCGGCAGCGTTATAATGCAGTAACGGGGCGGAGGTCACCTTTGAGAGGACACCTGCAGCATGCTTCAGGTTCTGCACAAAGGTGTCCTCCATCTCCATGGTAACAGCGCAGCGTTCCGCCTCCACCGGCACAAGTGGATACTGGAGAGAAACATTAGCATGAATTACTCTCAGCAGAGGTAAAACATCTCGAGATCGCCTGCAAAATCGCAGCTGATGGAGAAAATGAGGTTCCCGTGGAGGACGTGAGCGTTAGATCAGACATTCAGACATCTGGGGCAGACGCAAGCCTCCGGGGAGCCTGTTTCAGCACATCTCTGACTGTTTTAGTGAGTAACAGCGTGAACCTTCATGTCTAGATGCTTAAGTTTTGTCCATGCAATGTTTCCCATCAGCTTTAGTGTGCATTGAACAGGAGACCGGTTTTATGCTTTATATAATAAAAATTAAGCTTAGAACTCTGAATATGAATCAGGGTCATGAAACACTGCATCCCTGTTACACTTGCGTTATGCATTTTGTGTCCTAACCAGTCACCAAAAAAACAAAGCAACAAGCAATTAAAGTGATCTTTACCATATGGAAGCCTTTCCATAAGGTCATTTCTTGCAATTCTGAGAATAAAAGTCATGATTACAAGATATAAACACGAAATAAAAATGCTAAGGTTTTTTTTTCTCCAATTCAGAGTTTACATCTTACAATTATGACTTTTCTCTGAATTTTTAATTTACATCTCACAATTCATTTTTTTTTGTCTGTTAATTGCGACTTTTTATCTCACAATTCAGATTTTTCTTTCAGAACTGCAAGTTTATATCACAATTTTGAGTTTGTATGTCACGATTAAAAGAAAATAGTCTAAATTGTGAGATTTAAACTCAGAATTGCAAGAAAAACGTCAGAATTGCAAGATGTAAAATTGCAAAGGACGATGGAAACAGGAGTGCTAAAATGCAACTTGTTTCCAGGTTTTGGAACAGAACAGAAATGTCAAAGCAGCATTGTACAAGTACATATAATGCATGAGCACTGTAGGGAGACCATCAATACAAAAACAAAGCCAAAACCCAGACATTTTAGGTGGTGATTTAGTGTGGTGCAACAAGTCTTACATCAGAGCATTGTATCACATGGGTTCATGCTTCCCCCGTGAGTTGAGAAAGGTCGGTTCTATTCCATTAAGCAGTTCTATCTGCATCTAAAGCACCATTCTATCTGTGACCAATGAACTCAGAGTTATTCTATTCCTGTCTGTGACTAACACCCTGCAGAGACCTTAAACTGCCAGCCGACAGGTTACAGAACACCACTCATCCACTGCATTTGAGGTTTCTGTCTGACTGTCTATCTATCTATCTATCTATTTGTCTGTCTGTCTGTCTGTCTGTCTGTCTGTCTGTCTGTCTGTCTCCATCCGTCCGTCCATCCGTCCGTCTCTGTCTGTCTGTCTGTCTGTCTGTCTGTCTGTCTGTCTGTCTGTCTGTCTGTCTGTCTGTCTGTCTGTGTCTGTCTGTCTGTCTGTCTCTCTCTGTCTGTCTGTCTGTC